AACCAAACAGTCCAGTGGCATCTTTAAGACCAAGTTCTATAGGAACCAGCTCTGGCTTCTCTGTCAGGGCAGATCTGCTCATTCCCCCCCCACCCCCATAGCCAGTAAACCAAAACAGTCCAGTGGCACCTTTAAAACCGAGTTTTACCCATAGCCAGTAAACCAAACAGTCCAGTGGCATCTTTAAGACCAAGTTCTATAGGAACCAGCTCTGGCTTCTCTGTCAGGGCAGATCTGCTCATTCCCCCCCCACCCCCATAGCCAGTAAACCAAAACAGTCCAGTGGCACCTTTAAAACCGAGTTTTATTCAGGTACAGGCTCTCCCTCCTCTGTGAGGGCAGATTTCTCTCCTCACCCCCAGCTATTAATCCAAAACAGTCCAGTGGAGCCGGAGCGGTGTGTGCTGTCTTCTGACACATGTCCGGTGATGTCAGGGGCTGTGGCCTTCTGTCAGGGGTGTGGCATATGCTAATGAGTTATGCTAATGAGCTCCTGCAGCTCTTATTCTATGAAAAGACCCCTGCCCGGGAGCAACTGGTTCCAGCCACCCTTGCTCCTAGCACAGCAATGCCTCTGGCCCAGCCCCAGCCCCCCCCGGGAAATTGGAAAGTCTACGCCCATGCAGATGAGTACTGAGTTACAGAGGAAGAAGTCCACCAACACCCCACACACACATACAGAGAGTTTCCAGGAATGATTCAGCAAACACATCTTTAAAAAATTCGAGGAACAATCACAAAACCACACCTCAGAAGGAACCGAGAAATCGACAAGAAGATAAAGAAAAGGGATGCAGAGGATCCAGGTTACAGTGTGTGACAGAGGGTGAGACCAAGGAAGTTTCAGCGATCCCATCGGAACCACTCCCAGTTGGTAAACACTGGGTGACCTCATCCTGGTGTCCGCAAATGAGGATTTGAAACTTTTAAGTGAACACTTGAAGAGAATGGCTACGTTGTCAGGCATTTAAGTTATCTGCTTCATATCCAAAGTTCCTTACTTGTATACCGTTAGTCCTGTAGCCTTCTGTATCATGTAGGGACTTTTGGATATGTCAGTAAGTCCCTGGCGAAAACTAGCCTTGGATCTATTGTTTATGCATATGATTGAAAATGTGCAAAAGATGATGGGTGTCCCATTTTTAAAAAAGTTATACATTCTTCTGCTAGTTCAAGAGATGGAAAAACAAACAGGTTCGGCACACTGGGCCCTGAATGATAGAGTGGGTGGGAATATGGCATCACAGAGCTGGAAGGGGCCATAGAGGCCATCTAATCCAACCCCCTGCTCAATGCAGGATCAGCCTAGAGCATCCCTGACAAGGGTTTGTCCAGCTGCTGCTTGAGGACTGCCCGTGAGGGGGAGCTCAACTCCTCCCTAGACAGTCAATGCCACTGCTGAGCTACTCTTACTATAATTTCCCCCCCTAGTATCTGGCAGGTACTTCAATGACTCAGTATCAATAGCAGGTTCTTAAGCAGATTCAACTTTATTGATCAGAGGAAGGTGCAGTCGACTTGGATACTTTGAGTCAGGAATGACGCATACAAAATGGCAATAGAAGATCTAGTGGGTTCATACAATACCCCCTGACACCTAGAGGCCAATAAGCAATGAATATAAAATGCAGGGAACTGTGTAACGGTTCAGGGGTGAGTGGGAGAATCGGAGACATTTGCGCGCCCAAACGATGAGCACTCAAGGCCAGCCGGCCGATAAGGAGCAAAACTGAAACACAGCTGCAGAGCAAAGCACGTTCCAGCAGAAAGGAAAATAACCTCATGGCGGGACTACCCGACAGTATCCAGCCAGTACCTTTCCATCCTTGATTTAAAACCATTATCATGAGTCTTATCTTCAGCTGCCAATAGGAACAGCTCCCCAACTTTCTCTAAGTGACAGCCCTTCAAATACATAAAGAGAACAATCATGTCCCCCCTCAACCACCTCTTCTACAAACTGAGAAGATCTGTTAAGAAAAAAATTATTCCTCTTCAGGTCAAACTGTTAGGATAATCAATTACCAGGTCAGTACCAGTCGTCCTTGTGGGTGTATGTACACCCTTCTCCAGATTTGATCCCTGAAGATAAGAGAAGATTGGTGAAAGTCTTCTTGAAAGGATTAAATAATTCCTATCCTCCTTGAAAGGATTAAATAATTCCTATCCCAAGGAGGCCAGGCTTGCAGCAACAAGGGCCAGGTCCTTTTCAGTGGCGGCTCCTATCTGGTGGAATGAGCTCCCGGGGGAGATCCGGGCCCTGTGGGACCTCATGCAGTTCCGCAGGACCTATAAGACGGAGCTCTTCCACCAGGCTTTCGAGTAGGAGCCACCCCTGCCGCTGCCACCACCACTCCAGTACAGAGTGATACCGCTGGAGGGCCGGGTAACATCCATCTGCGGCCCTAGTCCTCCCCTTCTGCTTTGCAAGAGGTAGGGGAGTTTTATCCTTGCATTCGATGATATTGAATTTTATCTGTTTTATCTATTTTATATATTATATGCACTGTGTGCCATCTTTTAAGCCGCCCTGAGCCCGTTCGTGGGGAGGACGGGGTATAAATACAATTAATTAATTAATTAATTAATTAAATAGTGAAACAGCCTGTCCCTCAGTGGACTTTGAAATTGGCGTTAAAACCATTTGGTCCATCTGCCACCTGTTCTCCACAACTTCGGGGGGGGGGGGGGGGCTAGGGGGCGCTAACTATCACTTCCGCACATCACATTTGTGAAATGAGATCACTGAAATCCTTCACCTTTTCATAAGGATATCAAGTAGTTCTGAGAAATGGCCTAGATTTCTTACCTAAGGTAGTTTCTCAGTTTCATCTTGAGTATATTACCAGTTTTTGTTCCTGAACGTACATATGTAAAGGACTGGAGAGAGTGCTACATTCTCTATATGTTAGTGGATATGTTCTCCTCTTCTCTGTTTAATCTGTATAACAGCCTTTAGAGATAGGTTTGACTGAAAGTGTGTGACTGACCCAAGGACACCCAGCAAGCTTCCATGGCAGAGTGGGGATTCAGTTGGGTTCTCCCGGAGCCTAATCCAACACTCTAACCACTACACACGCTGTCTCTCTGTTCTGTTAAAGAGAAACAGAGGACACATCTGTCACTGTGGTAAATGAAAGGAGAGAGAACCAATGTTCCCTCTAAGCTGTGGAGTCTTGTGAGCAAAAATTCTGCTTTGTGAGCTACTGGCATTAAAGTTGTGAGTGTGTGGTTTGGCTTCTGCATAAATCAGTTTGCTCTGGAGCCCTCCTTCCTGAGCTAAGACAGAAATGCGTGAGCTGGAGGCTAAAAAACTGTGAGCTAGCTCACACCAACTCAGCTTAGAGGGAACACTGGAGAGAACATCTGCCCAGTCTATCTCCCATAAGATTGTCCTCCTGATAAAAATGTAGCAGGATTGCCGATCCACACCCACTTAACCAGAGCATAAACTGTTCTTTAACTGTATTCCTGAGTGAGTTGCCATAAAAGATCCAAATAAAGCTGCTGCCTTAAGCGCTACTCATTACGTGTCGACATTAGAAGAGAGGCAGAAGTGAAGGAGGCTGGGTTGCGTAACCTGTTCAACTGAGATTCTCAAGAAATTAGCTGACTAATCTTCCATGTGGGACTGCGTGGAGACCACAACGATGACAGCCGTGTCTCTGCCACATATCACTTGTCTGTTTGTGTTGAAAGCTCTGTCACACAGGAATAGTTGTGAGGCTTTTGTGGTAAGAACATAAGAACATAAGAGACGCCAATGTTGGATCAGGCCAAAGGCCCATCCAGTCCAACACTCTGTGTCACACAGTGGCCAGAAATACCAGTGCCATCAGGAGGTCCAGCAGTGGTGCCAGGACATTAGAAGCCCTCCCACTGTTGACCCCCCCCCCCAAGCACCAAGAAGACAGATCAGAGGAACTGAGATCAGAGGAACTGAGGCGTTCCCTTCCCCTTCCTCATGTGACTCAAAAGGGAGAAACCTGTCAGAGGAGGGAGCTCCAGAATGTTCCGTGGCTGGCCCACTCACACACACATGTCACAGAAAGGGAGTTGCTACCATGGAGAGCTGTTGCGTGTCCAGATAGACCAAGCTGAGCTAGGTGGGTTATTGGTCTTCCTGAGGGAGCGTCTTACATATCAAGTGGAAAAAGTTGGTACGTGTGCAGCCAAATAGCCATCTCAGCAGGATCCTTTTATTTTATTTTTTTACAGAAAAGGCAGCTAAGTAAAAATAAGGATGCTCATTGTCAGAATATTGCAATAATTGTTTTAAAGCAAGCTGAGAAGCAGAATTTTTTTTACACAAAATGTAATTGAGTGGTTTAAGGAGACCACTTCTGAGACTGAAAAAATGTATGGATTCCCCAAAATTTCAAAAGATGGTTTTAGAAGAGAAGAGAATATTTTAATCCTGCTTTTCTATACCAAAGAGTCTCAAAGCTGCTTACAATCACATTCCCTTCCCCTCCCCACAACAGGTAGGTGTGATGTGGGTGGGGATGAGAGCGAGAGGACAGGACTGGCCCAAGGTCACCCAGCATCTTTCATGTGGAGGAGGAGCACGAATCAAACCTGGTTCTTCAGATTAGAGTCTGCCATTCTTAACCACTAGACCATGCTGGCTCTCTATTGGGGAAAAAATAACAACCTGGTTTATCTGTCGTGCAATACAGTGAGACTATGCATCCTTGCAAGTGAAAGTGTGGAACAGAAAATGCCTGTGTGTGTAACATGAGAAGATTTATGAGGACTAGGGAGAGTGCATGTACCTATGGGAGGAAGAAGATGAAAAACACTGAATAAGAAGCATGCAGGCACGTTAAAGGAGTGTTTGGGTCACATTGGATGCTGCTGCATCCACTGTGTTTGGGTTACATTTGGATCCAATTTCTCATTTAGTTAAGTACTTCTTTGTGAGAAACCTTGCACAGCCTGTTCCTTTTGGTAGTGAGTTTTGGAACGGCCAGGCTCTGAAAAGCCCTTTGAATCGTGTCTGTCACGGAAATGCTGACACAACTGGAATCGTGGCGGCGCTATTGGGATGTGGGGGCTTTAATTAGAATTTTCGGCCGCCTTGATTCCCAGAAAATGATTTCTGTCTTATTTTTAGATATGGGCAAGTGTCACCTTACCAAAGGCAAGCAGGCTTTGGAGATCCGCAGCAGTTTATCTGAGAAGAGAGCACTAACTGATCCCATTCAGCAAACGGAAACCTCCGCGGAGGCACTGGCGCGGAACCTCCAGTGGGCCAAGGCGCATGGTATGGTAAATACGGGCACCCTCCGTTTCATTAATGTATAACCCCTCCTTTCCTTGGGGTGAACTACAGTGTTGCCCTTGCATTGAATTATTAAGTTAGCAGTCTCAAAAGGATCAACACGTGACCTACATAGAGGAAAAGGGGGCAGGAAGGAAGGGCAAACAGAAACCCAAGAGAACATGCTACCGTCTCCACACCAAGCTCCCCTCCATACTCTCTAGCAAAGAGCCAATGACTGCCCACAGCTTAGACTGCTCTGAAAATGGTCTCTTGACCACAAATGAAGCTGCCTGTTACTGAATCAGACCATCAGTCCATCAAAAAGAAGAAGAGATTGGATGTATACCCCGCCCTTCACTACCCGAAGGAGTCTCAGAGGGGCTTACAAACTCCTTTCCCTTCCCCTCCCCACAACACAGACACACTGTGAGTTAGGTGGGGCTGAGAGAGCTCTGACAGAAACTGCTCTTTTTCAAGAACAGCTCTGACAGGACTATGGCTTGCCCAAGGTCACACCAGCAGCTGCATGTGGAGGAGTGGGGAATCAAACCCGGTTCTCCCAGATTAGAGTCCACGCACGTAACCACTACACCAAACTGTCTCTCAAGGTTAGTATTGTCTACTCAGACTGGCAGTGGCTCTCCAGGGTCTCAGGCAGAGGCCTTTCACATCATCTACTGCCTGGTCCTTTTTAACTGGAGATGATTCAGAGTCAATCAACCTCTGAATTCTACAGCCAGGAGGCAACATCAAGGGTAGGCCTCAGCCTCTATGCCCTCTTGTTGGACCTCCAGAGGAACTGGTTGGCCATTGTGTGAGATAGGATGCTGGACTAGATGGACCACTGGTCTGATCCAGCAGGGCCCTTCTTATGTTCTTAGGTTGCAGGAAGGGTCAGTCTTGAAGACTGATTGAAAGCCAAACATCCACTTGGTTTACAGAAATGAACCCCGACATTCTAGTGACTAGTCAAGTGTAAGGGAAAATGCACTTTGCACAGCTAATTTTTGAAGGGCAGTAGGTATGTTAACTGCTACTGATTTTTTTTTTAAAATGTGTTTATTTCCAGAGCTTCCTGAAAGCATGTGCCTTGAGTTTACGTGTGGTGTTCAAATTCAGCTTGGCTTCGCTGCCGAATTTTCCAACGTGATGATTGTCTACACAAGGATAGTAAAGAAACCCCCCGATATAACAGTCTGCAAAGCCTATGTTACAGATTTCCCACTTGTAAGTTGGTGTGTGCAGTGGGCAGGGGTTGACACTTGGCTAACAGTTTGACCCGCACATGGTCCTTGTAAGTCACAAATTGTATGATCTGATAGCTAGCATCTCTGATGAAACAATGCACTTAAAGAGTTAAAAAATATTTCACTACTAGGAAAAAGGCCTGTTGTGGAAATAAATACAACGGCCTCTAAAAAGAGGCTCTGGGCAGGTACCCCGGCCTTGGACACTCAGTGTCAATTTGCTGTGGCGACCTCAGCAGGGTATAATGACACTGAGTCCACCATTTTCTCCAGAGGAACTGATCTCTGCTACCTAAGGAACAGTTGTAATGTTGAGTGATCGCCAGTTCTTACCTGGAGATTGGCAACGAAGGTTCCCCAGAGGGAATGGTTGGTTTGGAGGGTGGAGTCTATGGCTTTGTACCTGTCTGAGGTCCCACGCCTCCTGAAACCTCACCCTCTCCAGGCTCCATCCCTCACATCCCCAGGAATTCCCCAGCTGAAGTTGGCAAACCTATCTCCTTCCCAGCCAATCATCATCCTACCTTTATTTCCCCCTCACTCTTCAGCTTTCCATTCCCCACACACCTGCAGCCTCTCCCGTGCTCTGAAGCCCTGACTGCTATGTCACATTGGCTATCATACGGGAGCCACCTCAGCCACATATAAGGATACAGAGCCCACCATTTTCTCCAGGGGAACTGATCTCTGCCGTCTGGAAAGCAGTTGTGATTCTGAGTGATCTCCAGTCCTCACCTGGAGATTGGACACATTTTATCTCAGAAGAGCAAACTGTTTAGAATGTTAGAGGCAAAAGCCAATCAATTCGCATATGCAAACGACTTCTGTGTTCCGAGGCAAAGGCCAATGAGGCTGCATATGCAAATAACCTCTGTGTTCTGACTGGCTATGGGGGGGGAGAGGAACAGCAAAATGTTTAGAATGTTGGAGGCAGGACTCAGGCAAAGCAGCCAGTGGATAGGGAGACCCTCTGAATGACAGACCAGAGAGCGAACTGATTTAGTGTGTGGAATGTTCTAGAGAAGCGCCACCACCATTCGGCTTTTATTTATAAGGGAGATGAGAGAGGAGGCTTTTCTGCACGTTTTGCTCCCTCTAGTGGTTGCTTCGATATTTCATCGCTGTATCTCTGGTTTGTTTACGAGCACTGTACATAAATAAACCGGAGGTACAGCAATGAAATATTGAAGTGACCACAAGAGGGAGCAAAACACATGCAGCAAAGGGGGGAAATGCAGTACAGGTATGCAAGCAACAAAGATAAGATGTGCTGAAAAACCCAGAGACCCTCAAGGACTTGCCAGGGAACAGTCTTCTCCCTGCACTTGCTACTGGCTTCTCCTTGTCTTTGAGTCACCTACTCCCATGCTCCTTGCTCTGTTCTTCCCTTTCCCCCCCTGTATTTACATTTTCAGTCCCTCTCCTACACTTTTGCTTACCTCTCCAGCATGGTGAGATGAGTGTGGGAGGTATGCCGGAGCCAGCTCCAGTTTCCCCTTCCTCGACCGCTCCTGTCAGTTTCTTTGCATGCCATTTTAAAGTTTCTATAGCAACCTAAAATGCTGCTTGAACTCTGGTTTGGGTTGTGGGGAGTTCGACAACTTTTGCACATGTGGAAGCTCACAGGGCAAAATTGGTATCTCCCCCCCCCCAAAAAAAAAAAACAAAGACTGTTCTGCAGGCCTGAGAGATTCCCTTGGATTTGCAGAATGGGTGGCTGGCCCCATTGTGCAGAGGGAGGACATTGTGCCCATGGATACAGATTTTTCACACGGTGAGGGATTTGGGGTGGCTTATCTCAAGATGCAGTTATAGTTTGCCTACTTAAATGGTTTACGTCATTCAAACCTACAACAATTCTGAAGGTAGCTCGTTCGAAGAACCACGTTTACACCTTGGAGACTTGAGAGAGTAAGGCCCCGGTCACATGGAAGGTTTTGGCCTGGGAGAGAGACGGATCGGGGGCGCAGCAAACGGGCACGATCTCATCGCAACATCTGGGAAGCGGCGCGCACCTGTCCCCGATCCAGCCCTTCAGGCCAAAAACCCGCAGTAAAAAAGAACCACCCCCAGAGGAGGACTTACCGGGAACGCCGCATCAAGTGTAGCCGTGGGATCGCCGGCGCGCCTGTCGTCCAGAGCAATCCAGGCTCCCGGCCAAACTGCACATGCGCACACATGTGCAGTTCGGCTGCCTCGCTCCCCTTTCAGTGGAAGTGCACAGCGGCTCAGGGGATCTATGTGATCCCGCCACTGCGTGTCTGTTTTAGTGCAGCTTTAAAAAGCCGCACTTTGCCCGTGCTTTTTCCCCACGTGTGGTAGGGGCCCCCGATGACCAAGTTCTCTCTGTGGGCTCTTGGCTGAACTAGCATCAGAGAAGGTGCAGAAATGAGCTACTAACATGATTAAAGGAATGGAACACCTTCCCTATGAAGAAAGGTTAAAGAGGTTACGGCTCTTTAGCTTGGAGAAATGATGACTGAGGGGTGGCATTATAGAGGTTTAAACAATTATGCATGGGATAGAGAAGGTAGAGAAAGAAGTACTTTTCTCCCTTTCTCACAAGACAAGAACTTGTGGGGACTCAATGAAATTAACAGTAGGCTTAGAACTGATAAAAGGAAGTACTTGTTCACCCAAAGAGTAATTAACACGTGGAATTCACTGCCGCAGGAAGTGGTGGCAGCTACAAGCATGGACAGCTTCAAGAGGGGATTAGCGAAACATATGGAGTAAAGTTCCATGAGTCGCTATTAGCCATCGGCCTGATACTGTTCTTATGTTTAACTAGGTTTATTGCCTTTGAGCCTTTGTTTTCTGGGTCCCACATGCTGAAAATTGTAACTGTTTGTGACTCAAGATGAATTAAACCTAAGGAGACTTCCATTAAAAGCTGAAAGAGTGATCTAAAATAGATTTAATGTGCCTTTTTTTTAAGGCTGAAATGAAGAGTGAGGGTTGGTTCACCCATGCAAGCTGGCATATAATGTTTGTAACATCAAGCAGTTGGCATACTTGTCTAGGTGTGGATTGTATACCTCACGGGTATAGTACCACTGGTACTACCATGCCCTGACCTGGAAGGCTAGCCTGATCTCATCAGATCTCTGAAGCTAAGCAGTGTCAGTTGTGGTCAGTATTTGGGTGGGAGACCACCAAGGAAGTCCAGGGTTGCTATGCAGAGGCACGCAATGGCAAACTATCTCTGAATGTCTCTTGCCTGGAAAACCCTACGGGGGTCGCCATAAGTCGGCTGTGACTTGACGGCACTGAACACCACCACCACCATCCTACCACAAATAGTACATGGAATAAAAATGAATTGACCTATTACCCAGCCAAGTGCACAGAGGGTCATATCATGCATGTGTGAGTCAACATCATGATAAACTGGAATGCATTTTTAAAAGAAGAAGAAGAAGAAGAAGAAGAGATTGGATTTATACCCCGCCCTTCACTATCCAAAGGAGTCTCAGAGCGGCTTACAAGCTCCTTTCCCTTCCCCTCCCCACAACAGACACCCTGTGAGGTAGGTGGGGCTGAGAGAACTCTTGACAGAAACTGCTCTTTTTCAAGAACAGCTCTTATCAGAACCACGGCTTGCCCAAGGCCATCTAGCCAGGTGCAAGTGGAGGAGTGGGGAATCAAACCCGGTTCTCCCAGATTAAAAATCCGCGCACTTAACCACTACACCAAACTGACCAAAAACATTGTCAGTATTTTTAAATGTTACTCTTCTTTGTATTTTTTAAAATTTGATTTGATTTATAGCCCGCTCTCCCCAAGACTGGCTCAGAGTGGGTGACAGCAATCTATAAGTATACAAATTAATAAATACAATAAAATCAATACAAAACAGTTACTATAAAAGTTAAGATGGGATAAAACTCATACAGAGGGGCAATATACAGGCATATAAAGAAGGAAAGGAGGAGGGGGAGGCCAGAACTGAATGTAGCCTATCGGCTTGAGGCCTGGTACAGCCCTCAACCATAGGCCCAGCAGGACACCTCTGTCTTGCAGGCCCTGGAGAGTTGTACCGGATCTCACAGGGGCCTGACCTCTCCTGGAGGCGGAGGACAGCCGGATACTCAGATTTTGATCACTTGAGCGTAACACACTATGGGGTGTGTTAGTGAGTCTGTGTTTGGACAAAAATGACAGGCCATGTTGTGGAAATGTTTAGTGTAGCTCTTTTATAGCTCTTATTACTGTTGAACCTGCAGTGGAATGTTTTGCTTGCTTTATTTTGGCAGGACTTGGATGTGGATCCCAAGGAGGCCAACAAGGGGACCCCTGAGGAGACCGGCAGCTATTTGCTTTCAAAGGACTTGCCCAAACATTGCCTTTACACAAGGATAAGTTCACTGCAGAAGCTAAAGGTTACTTCATGTTTTTGTCTGGCAGACTCCCTTTATGTTGCTCCTTACATCAGCCGCAGGAATAAGATGGGACTGTTGACAAGCGCTAATCGCCCACAGTGACCCGCTCCATTCTAACATAGAGCCAGCGTGGTATTGCGCAGGGTCCCCCCCCCAATGTGTGGCGCCCATGGCACCTGCCAGTACTTCCCTTGATGCTCACTGAGCTTTTCAGAAGGTGGGTAAGGAGGCCATACTGTTGGCTTCCCTCATTCAAGCGAAAGAGTTTTTCACTTGAAGATGACGAGAACTGGTAAGCAACTGGGCTTTCCTTCGTCAGTGTGTGGTTCCATTCCCCCTTCAGATTTCCTTTTTCCTGGGAGGTGTGAAGTTGGAAGTATTCTGTTCAGCTGTGCCTCCTGAGGCAGCCATTTTGGGTTTGGCTCCACTTCTTGTGGAAGTAGGCTTCCCAAATCCCCCCAAGGGGCGGGGAAACCCCCGCCCCAGAGGCCCGTTCCCTGCCGGCGGCGGATCGGGCCCTGGGGGAACTCCTCCCCAACGTGCGCGTCACCCGAAAGTGACGCGACCACGCCGGGCACGCTGGGGGAAGGGGCCACGGCCATCCAAGGGAAAACTCTATGGTTTTCCCTTGTATGGCCGTGGCCCCACTCCCAGCGTGCCTGGCATCGTCACGTCACTTCCGGGTGACGTGCATGCCGTGCGCGCACGCAACTGACGCCGGCCGGGAACCCCCCACTCCCAGCGAAAATCAACTTGGCAACCCTGTGTGGAAGCCATTTTGGGATGGTGCTTACCACCCCCTCTCAAAATCTCAAAGGTGCCTGCAGCCTGAAAGATGTTGAGGACCCCTGGCGCAGGCTTACCAAGTACTTACCGTGATTCGGCGGGGGGACACATACTTCTTCCCAGGAACATTCCCGCGCGGAAAACAGACACACCGCACCATGCCGTCGCCAGGAAGTGACGTTGGGCGACATTCTGGCAATGGGGCTGGAAACTCGATGGTACCATCGAGTTTTCAGCCCCATTGTCAGAGCGTCGCCCAGCGTCACTTCCTGGCGACAGCATGGTGCATTACAGGGAGGAATGTTCCGGCTGGGGATCATGTGTCCCCTGCCGAATCGCGGTAAGTACTTGGTAACCCTACCCTGGCGTAGTGAACCAAGTGTTGGACTAGGCCCTCAAACACCTGGGTTCAGATCTCCACAGAGCTGTGGAAGCTTGGTGAGTGACCTCGGCCCAGTAACTCTCTGTCTAACCAACCTCAGAGGATCCTTATGGGAGTAAAATGAAGAAGGGGAGGTCCTTGAAAGATGAGCAGGATAAAATAAATCCTTTATTTCTTTTTACTCCCCTTCTGTGATTCTTTTGCAAATCGAGGAGGGAGATATTACATTTAGCTCCACCTCCTGCAGCAGCCATGTGGGATTTGGCGCCACCTCCTCTGGCAGCCATTTTGGGATTTGGCTCCACCCCCTGCATTAGCCATTTGGGGGTCTGGCTCATTTTCCTGCAGCAGCCATTTGGGGGGGTTAGCTCCACCTCCTGCAGCCACCATTTTGGGGTGGCAGTCATCACTCCCACTCAAAATTCCAAAGGTGCCCAGAGGCTGGAAAAGGCTGAGGACCTGGGCATAATCCATGCTGCAGAAGTAACATAAGGCACAGAAGCTTCACCCATCAGCATCGATGAAGGTTAACGGACAAGTACAGACAGGCAGGACTAAATAAATCTTTGTAAAGGTAAACACTGCCCTGTGGATGAAGTTGTGAAGCCACATTAAGCCTGAGTGCACAGGTCGTGAGGTAAAGCTCTTGTATATGCACGCGTTCTGTGCTGAGGTGCAGGGTCTCGGAGACCCGGGGTCACATCCCCGCCATGCTATGAAGGCTTGCTGGGTGACCTTGGAACCTGTCCAAGCTACCTAACAGAACATACATTTGACCAGTAAAGTGTCAGCTGAGGAAACGGAGTAGAACCAACCTGGCCAACCAAGCAGTATATTCTGAGGGAGAAGTAGCCAGTTACCATGTTATGGATGGAGAACCACTGCCTTTATGAAAAAAGGAAGTGGTGGCAACTACAAGCATAGACAGCTTCAAGAGGGGATTAGATGAACATATGGAGCAGAGGTCCATCAGTGGCTCTGAGCCCCGAGGTATAGATGGAAGACTGTGTCTGGGGCAGCGATGCTCTGTATTCTTGGTGCTTGGGGGGCAACATTGGGAGAGCTTCTGGAGTTCTGGCCCCACTGGTGGACCTCCTGATGGCACCTGGGTTTTGGCCACTGTGTGACACAGAGTGTTGGACTGGATGGGCCACTGGCCTGATCCAGCATGGCTTCTCTTATGTTCTTTTGTATGTTGCAGTCAGAAAAACCAGCCACAGCAAACAGCACGTGTAGTGTAGTGCCCGTGGGTGCTGTGGTGCCGACCAGCACCTTTCCTGACACCCGCAGAGCGTTTTTAGAAAGTGGGTGGGGCCAGATGGGGCTGCTGCCCAGCAGGGCTTCTGATTGGGAATCAGTGACCTGATTGACAGTGCAGATTGAAATAACATCGTTTCTGTGGGAGCTCCCCCACAGTGTTGGTTTTATTCTCTCTCTTTCACTCACTCCTTATTCCCAATGTATTTTAAAAAAATTACTTCCCTTGTCTGCTACACTTGGGCTTTCTCTCTGTGTGTGGCTTTGCCTCCTGGGCGGCCATTTTGTTGTTATGCCCACCACCCTGAGTCAGAATCCAGAGGTGCCCACAGAGTCAAAAAGCTTGGGAGCCCCCGGTCTCAAACATAGACTGTAGAACACCAGCCTAGAACATGTCCTTTGGTAGGTGTGAGCATAATTCTCCCTGATATGCAAAGCAGTGAATTCCTAAAAACAAAAACATTCCGACTGGAATTAATACCCCATTTTGACTTGATCGGCCGCTCTTGTTTGTCTGGGAAGGAAGAACAGCCATTTATTGATTCGTTCCCATTTCTTCCTCTTCCTCTCCCACCCCCGACCTAATTTCACAGGAAGACTTAACTTTCACGGTGTGCCTCCATTACGAATACACCGGCATAGACGACGTCGTGGACGAGCGGAAGTTGGTGAACATCGGCAAGCCTCTCATTGCCAAACTGCGCATCCATCAAGGGTTCCAGAAGAGCAGCTGCGTCCAGAGCTGTTGTGTCCCCAACGGGCCTTGCCTCTCCCAGCCCCCTGTCGCGGGGGCGGCCAAACACTGCCCCCCTTCCAGTCGGCACCTCCCGCCACACCCCTACATGGGCTTTTGCCAGCTGAGCTCTGCGCACGCAGGAAACGCTGCACAGCCACTGAAATGCCACTGCCGTGTGACTCCGGACCAGTTAATGGGTTGGCAGTCAACCTGGATGTATCCTTCCGGCTCAGACCCGAGCAACGTACCCGTGGAGACGACGGATGATACGAGTGAAGAACTGGGGCCCCATTTGTCAGGAAGTTTAAGGTTGTCTCAGCCGCAGTAGCTGCGGTCTTTGCACCGGGCTGTGGTTTTGCTGGCAGCGCCGCTGAGGAAGTGAGCGGCAGCACTGCTTTTGTGTCTCTCTCATGGTTTGAGAGAAGGGCAGTAGCAATTGTTGACAACGGCAAACCCTTTAGATGTATATCTGTTAGGCAACAGGAAAGGACGGTTCATTCCACCGTTCCTAGAGATCTTTCCTTGCTGCTGAAGGGTTGCAGAAGCTGCAAGTCACCTGGCAAGATGGTGATAAGGAACAGTCTGTTGAAGACATACAGAAGAAGATGGCAAGAGGAACACAGCAAGCCTAGTTAGAGTACAGGAAGAAGATAAACATTCTTTTAACTTCTGGGATGTGTTGAGGGAATTGTATTATACTTCCAGATACAGATGGTGAGCACAAACCTAACAGCTGTCGCTCAGCATGTTGGCCTGCTTGAACATCTGGATGGGATATGTGAGAAAACGTTGCTGGACAACACATGAAGATATGAAGCTGCCTTATACTGAATCAGACCCTTGGTCCACCAGAGTCTAATCAGACGGGCAGTGGCTCTCCAGGGTTTCAAGCAGAAGTCTTTCACATCCCCCTGCTGCCTGGTCCTTTTAACCAGAGATGCCAGGGACTGAGCCTGGGACCTTCTGCATGCCAAGCGGATGTTCTGCCACTGATCCACAGCCCTTCCCCTACATGGCTCCTCTGCCTGGCTCACCAAGGACTTAGTTTTGCTGGCATCTTGCCTCTGTCTTCCTACATCGAGTGCCGTACAAACTATCCCCACAACAGACACCCTGTGAGGCAGGTGGTGCTGAGAGAGACCTCTGGGAGAACTGCTCTTGAGAGAAAAGCTCTGAGAGAGCTGTGACGGACCCAAGGTTAAAGAGAGCTTCTTTGGAAATGTGATCAGTCAAAAGCCACAGTTTGCTCAGCATCCAGATTTGCACAAGTGCCCTGTGTGGTCATGAGTCAAGCAGAGAAGGAAGAGGCTTGTGTGTGGTGTCAGTTTGGTAGCAGCCAGTTTGGTGTAGTGGTTAAGAGCCGGCGGACTCTAATCTGGGAGAACCGGGTTTGATTCCCCATGCCTCCACATGCAGCCAGCTGGGTGACCTTCGGCCAGTCACAGTTCTCTCAGAGCTGTTCTCTCAAGAGCAGTTCTTGAAGGAATTCTCTCAGCCCCACTCACCTTACAGGGTGTCTGTTGTGGGGAGAGGATGGGAAGGAGATTTTAAGCCAGTCTGAGACTCCCAAGTGAAGGGTGGGGTATAAATCCTCCTCCTCCTCCTCCTCCTCTTCTGCTGCTTGTTTCTCTGCTTCTTTTTCTTGTCACGGTCACCAGGGGACCTGAACCCAGTTCATAGCAAGGGCACAGCTGCTTTTACAGTTCCTGCTCATCTCACCTTCACTGGTTTCTTTTGTTAGTTTGTTTAAGACAGGAGTCCCCAGTGTGGGGCCTGTAGGCACCCTGGCCTGATTCCCACCAAGTGTTTTGAGAAAGCAGGTGGGGCTGCTGCAGTTGGAGATCTGATTGGCCGTGCAGATTAAAATAACATTGTTTTAGTGGGACCTCTCCCCACCCCCCGGTGTTGGTTTTATTCTCCCTCTCACTTCCTATTCCCAGTGTATTTTTTAAAATTACTCCGCTTCCCCCCTGGGCTTGGGCTTCCTCTGTGGGTGTGGCTTTGCCTCCCCGGGGCAGCCATTTTGTGGTTGCGCCCACCATCCTCCGTCAGAATCCAGAGGTGCCCGCAGGGTCCAAAAGGTTGGGGACCCCTGGTTTGAGATCTGCATTCCGTTCTCCTGTATTTGTAACCTTACTGTCTCTTCTAACTACAAGACACCACGACATCTTTACATTCCGATGTAGTTATCTCCATTTTTGAGGAAACTAAAGTGACGTGATAAGATCTCAGTTCTGGAGCTCCTGGGCCCTTTTTGATGCGGGATCTCAGACGCTATAACAAACAGGCGCAGAGAAATAGTGGCAGACGTGTTCACTGCAACAGAAAGAGATAGCTGGCAAGGGAATCTGAGGGGGGGAGGGGGGGCACACGGAAGCCCGCAGGATAAGGCCGTGTGAGAACCGTAGGAAGCAAGAGCCTAAGCAGTAACGGCTACTGAGCGAGAAAATAGACAAACAGAGCTCACAGAGGTACTGTCAAGAATGGTGAATAATCAGGGCTCTTTTTGTAGAAAAAGCCCAGCAGGAACTCATTAGCATAATAGGCCACACCCAACAGCAGAAACCCATTAGCATATTGGGCCACACCTCTGACAGCAGAGCACATTAGCCTATTAGGCCACACCCACATGTTACCAGAAGTGTTGCTATCCAGCCACACCCACCTTTTGCTTCTTATTCTGTTTACCTTGCTTGTTGTCCAAACCCAGGGCTTTTTTTGTAGCAGGAACTCCTTTGCATGTTAGGCCACACACCTGTAATTGTAGCCAATCCTAATGAGTTCCTGCTGTTGGGTGTGGCCTATTATGCTAATGAGTTCCTGCTGGGCGTGGCCAACTTGGGAGTCAGCCGGAACGCCGTTCCTGTGCGTTCCTGCCCAAAAATAGCCCTGGTGAATATGGTGGGAGTTCTAAAGGCCTTCACCCTTTACTGGGGACCATTGGTTTGTTTGCTTTAATTCTGTCGTCCCCCCACCCCACACATCCTCAGTGGTTTTGTGTCAGGCCCCTTTCCCTCTCTGCTTAAACCCTTATCCATTGGGGTAGCTGTAGCTATGTGGAAAGTGGCCTTCTGTGTGAGGTAAGAAAGAGGGCTGGTTCAGTATGTGCCAGGAACTGAACCCCCGTTTCTGTTCAAGGTCCCTGTTTATCACGCCTGAACCTGGGAAACTAGATGTCTGTGTTCTTTGCGTGTATGGCTCAGGTCTTCCATTTGCGCTTTAAACTTTTGCATTTGGAGGTCCACTCGCTGGGTGTTTAGTCCTTCGCTCCCCTTCCTTCTGTTAAAAAGCCACGTGGGCTGAAACGCAGCAACCAAATTGACACAATCAGAGCAACGTTGCAGAAAACCTTTGCCACTTGAAAAGTAACGTCAGAATCAACATCCGAAAGAAGCCAGATAATCTTAGATTCAACAGTCACACAAGCAACGGAAATAGATAAAAAGAGGGCAAAGGGAATTCATCCCTCGCTTCTGCCCTCAGAGGGCAATCAAATACAATCTGTTAAGTGTCTTTTTCCTTCAGCTGCGGTTTCCCGTCATTCAAAGGGAAGTACCGTTTGTTCATCTCACACAGAATGTGATCAAAGTGCTGTGTAAATAGTGTTATGCTGTTAAACTGGTTTGTGAATAAATTTGATATTTTCCCCAGTGGTCCTTAAGGTCTTGGCATGCCAGCGGCTGTTCCTTTCTACCAGTGTGCCGGAAAGGATGGTTATTGGAGCAAGGGGGTCCATGCGGCAAACAAGCCTTTCGTCAACTGTTTATTTATTCAAAAGCACTAATTGTTTTTCCCTTTCAGAAACTGGTTCGAGCAAAAGGTACCGCCAGAGTTTCCATGGCATTTCCATAGCCTGGCAACCTGCAAAATGATGTGAGGACTGTGAATTTTTCAGGCACTTCTGAATGGAGAGAATTTGTCAGATGGGCCATTTCATGTATGACGAAGATATGTTCTGGAGTTCCCTTCCCCTGGGGTATGTGTGAGGAAATATAGTTTCAGGCTACAATATGTGTGTGTGTGTGGGGGGGGGTTTGTAAGCTTTCTCCCCAGGGCTAGGGTTGCCAACCTCCAGGTGGTGGGTGGAGATCTCCTACTGTTACAACTGATCTCCAGGCAACAGAGACCAGTTTACCAGGCGAAAATGGCTGCTTTGGAAGGTGGGCTGTACGACATTCTACCCCACTGAAGTCCTTCCCCTCACCAAGCACCACCCTCCTTAGGGTCTACCCCCAAAATCTCAAGATATTTCACAACCCGGAGCTGGCCACCCTACCCAGGGCTGTTCTCAGGTTGAGAAAATGGAACCAGGAAAGACTTCAAGCCCTCTCTCCCCTCATGCTGTGGTCACAAATTAAGTCAGCCGAGGCACCCCTGGGAGGCATGGAACCAGGCCCATAGCTATGGTTGGGCATTTTGCGGCTCTGCCCCCTCAAATATGAGGCATGCCCCATAACAGCTGCTGCCCCTCTCCCCCTCCCTCCCCTCCCTTGACAGTAAAAGGGCCCTCCAGCTGATCAGCGGGAGCACGTCGCTTGTCGATCAGCTGGAGGGCCCTTTAAATCTTGCATGAAGGGAGGGAGAGGGGCGGCCACACACCTTTCCTGAGCTCCAAGCTGTGATTTTGCCGCTTGCAGTTCAGGCGCAGGCAGCCCCCACTTGAAAGAAAACATTTAACATCCCCCACTGCCCCACAAAACCTCCCCATGCTCCACCACCCCAAAATTTCTGGCTGCATGGAGCTCCAGACCATGTCTTCGAAACGTGAATCAGCCCTGAGCTTTTTCAGAGGACACACGGCTAGAGGGTCTGGCGCCGAATCTCTTGAATCTTCTGATGACAAGAATCTCAGTTTCATAAGTTTAAAAGGGCACGTTCTTGTCACTCCTGCTTGTGAGGGGAGTTGAAACGAGAAATGTGATTCTAGAAATGATATTTGTCCTTTTCCAGTTACACACCCAAGTGTGTTTTGCCAGTGGTTATATATAAAGAGGCTGTTGTGTAAGTGACGCTAGAAAGCTTCGGCATAACATCACTGCATCCCCTTAGTTACGCTGTGCTTTGCTTTAAGAGCAGTGTGGCGGCTTTTCAAGTACGTTTCCACCTGTGTGGCTCGCAACCAACTAAAGAGGCAGCAATTAGTGTGGTGCTTGCATTGCCATGGTAGTGTGTGTGTTTTCCCCCCGCATACCTTTGGCAATTGGGAAACCTTTTTTGACTGCCTCCCACGATTAGATCTGAACATTGTTCAGCTCATTATGAGATGACGCCCGTCAAGATTAAAGTGAAGAGATGGAGATTCCCCAAGAATCTTGTCAGCCACACACTTCGCGGTGTGTTATGGGAACAACACTCAGAGCGCTCACGGGTCTGCCAGGCTGAACTTAGAGGCATGGTTCTGCTTCCTCATTCTCGAAACAAGATGGCGGCGGTATAGCTCAAACAGTATTTGTGAGAGAACAAGGCTCTGATTTGGTGTAGTGGTTAGGTTTGGTGTAGTAGCCAGTTTGGTGTAGGGGTTAAGAGTGGTGGACCCTAATCTGGGAAAACCAGTTTGATTCCCCACTCCTCCACATGCAGCTGCTGGCATGACCTTGGGTCAGTTACAAGTTCTCTCAGAGCTGTTCTCTCAAGAGCAGTTTCTGTCAGAGCTCCCTCAGCCCTTCCTACCTCACAGGGTGTCTGTGGTGGGGAGGGGAAGGGAAAGGAGATTGTAAGCCGCTCTGAGACTCCAAGTGAAGGGCAGGGTATAAATCCAACTCTTCTTCTCCACCACCTCCTTCTTTGTTGCATCCTATTGATTGCATTGACATATGGTATTTTTATTAGATTCAGTTTTTATACTGCCCTTCCCTGTAAACAGGG